GATCAGGAATTTGCTGCTGTTTCGGTCGTGGTTTGAATCTTTCTCATTTACATACGTTTGCTTGTTAACTTTCAAGTATCTTCCTATCAAGTTGCTTTAAACGAATGTGGGAAAGTCGAATTCTGTGTTTAGTCAGTTTCTTCTTCTGGCTCTTCATGCGATTCTTATCCCTATTCACTTAATGTACAAATTTTAGTCTTAACTTTTCGATATTACGAAGCTTTTGTTTCATCCTTATCTGTTTACCAACCTTTCTCGAAATAACCTACAACAGAAGCACTCAGAAATCAAGAAATAGAGTCAAAAACTATACTAAAATAGAAGAACATGATAACTGGAATAGTTATTTGCTTATTTGCACTACTTCAATACAACCACGAACTGAGTCGATTTGGAGTAAATTTGACATGCCACTATATAACCAAACCGAGTTTCTTCAACATTTTGGGAACTGTGTACTCCTTCACTACAAGCACAACAGATCTGTGATTTTTACCACCCGCACGGTAGTAAGAGAGGTATTGCACTGAGGTAAAAAATGATCTCTCCACTTTTTTGACGGAAAGACACGTTTCGAAGCACTAGGAATCTGAATCAGGCAAAATTTTGATGATGTCGGTGTCGGTCTGTCGGTCCGTCGCCCGTACTAATCAATTTTGTTTATAAATCTAGTCTCTGTGGCATTTTGAAGTCATTTTCAGTGACAACTAGTGGGGTGACTGTTTAATTTATTTTTTTAAGTGTTAGTCCTGAAGTTCTGCGTGACGTGTCAGAAGTCAGTATATTACCTATACGATTCTTCTGTAAATTTTAAGATTCACAACTACCTACATCACAGTTGTCTCTTTTTAAACATTCTATGTATATTATTTTAATCAGGCTGAGGAAAAAGCAGGGCCCTATAACTTTGCCTTGTGCAGAACACACGCCACTAACCGGCTAGATCTATTGACTTAATGGCGGAGAGAAATACGCTCTTATTCAGGGCGAGGTATTAAAAACAATCGTCAAACTTTAATGTTGCTACAGATACTTACTCTTTAGGGCACCACCTAGCTTCTACATAAATTTCTCAGCCAGCCACGAAAGCTAGGAAGTACAGCTTAGCTGAATAAGGCCAATATTTAACGACCCAACCAAAATTGAATTTATTTTCAGTAAAATGGTACGCTGGTACCTCATAAATGCTTAAACACAAAATTTAAATGCTCTAAATGAATATGCAAGTACGCATTTGAAAGTAATATATCTCCAAGATGAAATATGGATAATTCTCCACAAATTATGGATATCAAAACCCCTGAATATATGTGATCCGCTCTACCGTTAGGTACATAAAAAAAAGAAACAAATGAAATTGTAAATGAATACGTTAATATGACGCTGGTGGGTGGTTTGAAATTAATTATTCGTAATAGAGCTCCTTACGTTACAAACAAACGGTAGAATAATGACTCCCTTACAAGGACTCTCCGAACTGGAGAGTTTAAACAAAATAACTTCGACGATGGATATAACAAATTTTTATGGTCGGAATAGCTTAATAATGTGCTTGATCCATTGAAAAAGGAAACTGGTAATAGAAATTCGAGACGAATGGATAACTTACAATTAGAGCGATTTGACCGGTCCTTAAAGTTCCTTTCCGGAATGTTTGTTGCCGTACATATAAATGGAATTGTATCGGTTCAAACTTAACTGGTTCGATGGTTAGAAGATGCTTTCGCTAATAGCTTAATAACCCATCGACCTTTGGACACACAGGAAAATCTCTCACGATCGGGAACAACCACAACTTAGCACATACTTATTGCCAATTCTTTCTTTCAAAATGAAATCCTCCCCGACGCTATCTTTTATTATCCGAAGCTCATGACCATTTATCTTTACCCAATGGGATTTGAAATACAGCGTTACACGACCATATATGGACATTACACGAAAAATTTAAAAGTGAAAAAAGTAACTAACGACTCGAAATTTGGGTCGCATTCAACCTTTGTGAAATGTAATAGTACTACAATATTGCATGAAAATAAAATGAAATGCTAATACCGTTTTCAAACTGTTACAAAGTGTCACAAAAAGACTACAAAATACAAAACCTGGAACTGGTGGAGGATCCCCTGCTGGTTAGTACCAAATTTTAATTGATTTCGTAGGCAGTTACATCGTTTAAGGCTAAAGTTGAGAAATAAACGAGGATTATATTAGTATTAGGTATAGTGTAACGTAAATGTAATTACGTGATTTATTTTATTATCAATTAATTAACAATAAATTTATAACAGTTAAAATATTATTTATCATTCACATACACTGCACTGTTCCAACAGCGCGAAGTATTTATTACTTCGGCGTTGAAATTGGAACTCGTTTGAATGGAAATTCTATTTATTAACAAACTCGAGTGTTTTCGAGTGCTACCGAACGCTTCCGAGTGTTCTAGAATGTCATATTTCCTGGAAAGATTGCGTCACATCCGCCTTCGTTCTTTATCGCCGATGAATAATCTCTCATGGCGCTTCGATGTCTATTATGGAATATAGATGTATATTTTTTTCTAGAAAATTATCAAATGGAAAAACACTAAAATTATCTACACATGCAAATTTCTTTACATCTTCAACCAGCTGAACAATGCAGTGCACATTGTAATCTACGTACTCTACTCCGAATAAATATTTGTACCTAATTCTCAACAAAGTACTTCAACACTTGGCGTAGTCATAATAAGAATAAGGCATATTAGGCGAAGACATAAAACGACATAAAATGCTTGAATGGAGAGCTTTGCAAACATAATGTTTGGTTAATAACAAACAAAACCTCAACATTTTTTAGAGACCTTGGAAACCTTGCGGAATATATCTTTTAATTAAATAGATGTACAATTTCAGTTAACGTTTTACTACCACTATGCAAAAAAAGAGGCAAAACCAACATGAGTAACCAAACTAATGTTCAATTCCTCCATAATCGCATCGTCCTTGCGATATTCATCATTAACTTTGTTCGTAAACGTGGCATAACGTAACTGTGCCTCTATATCGGAAACTCATCCTATTATTAATAACGCTTTCTTCTGCATGCATTCCATTAACAATAGGAATTTTGACTTTTGGCATTTTTTTGTATTTCTTAATATTATCTTAGATCGACATTTTCAAAAATCCTTTCCAAAGCATTACGATGCTATTGTGGTGTAAGATATTAGTTAACAATATCAAAATGAAATTTTTATTTCCCATATTTGTGGAGTGTATTTTTCGCAGTAGAATTTGGAGTTTCGCACTTAGGCTTGACAAAATGCTTTTGGGCTAGTAGGATAACATTTATAACTTGTATGAAAAAATGTTTTATTATAACCGATCAAATGACGTATATCAATCAAGCACAGAGGATGTACGGAATACAATTATTTTTAATTATTAGATTGCATTTGTAATATATAATTATATTGTCCGAGTTCATCATCTTTCATTTCAAATATGTCGAAGAGCGTTGTCATTATTGTCAGTATCACAACTTGCCCAAAAAATATAGATTGCATTCCAGTTAGAAAAAATTTAATAAAATAATTAATTATTGTACGCACGAACGCCGCTTTTTGATGTTCGTCAAAAAAATTGTGGCGGTTTAAAAGTATAAAGGATAATTAATTTGACGCTCTTACTTTAGGCGTTAAGGTTGAACTTCACACCTTTTGCTGACACGTAACACACCTACTAATCTCTTCTTGTTTAAAATTAACTTAACAAAGGCAATGGTTTCGTTTTCAGAATTGTATATCTTATTATGAAGTTGATGCGCCACGTACGAGAGGCTTCATTAATGCCGTCATTTTTACATTTAAAATCAAAGCCGCAAACGAACCTATTTTTAATAATTCTATACTTGAGGCACATTTTTGCTCCGCTCTTTTAGTAATATTAATGCGTGTCAGACGTGTGCGTTACTTTATTCTAAGTAAAACATAATATGTACCTTCATAAATTTGCTCGACGTTGGGAAATGATTTTCTTTGTTAATAATCAAAAACCCCTATTCAGTGCTGGGGTTGGACACGAGTGTCATGTAACTTCACTTCGAAAATCAGAAGAATGTAAACATCTAAGCAAAGGGTCGTAGTCGTGTACTTATGGGAAGAAGATGGGAACAAAGAACGTATCAGATCTTACGTAGGGGTTCGTTCCGAAACTATATCGCCGCCGCCGTGGACGTTCTGAGATAACATGCTACAGGCACAAGGAGTGCACTATTCATATTCTAAAAAAGCCAAATTAAAGATTCTGGGCAAGTTAAATTTGAGCTTTATCTTCTCAAATTCTGAAAAAGGAAGACAACTATTAATATGGTAGATATAAATAGTAACGAATGTCTAAGCATCGATATAGGAAGAACAAATCGAATGCATTAGACAATATCAGCAATTAGAAGAGGTATTACAAAAGGTAATAATAATAGTGATGATGCCCTAGCGGGAGGTCTACACTTTATTATTTGAAATGTACGCTTTCTGTTCGTAAACGTAATAATCAATCTTGTAAATATTCACTTCTGCCACGTCAATGCGAAGTAATAAAATGATGAATTGAATTCAGAAATAATAAGTGAGATTAAAGCTATTTCACATGCCACCATAATTAGTGAAAAATAAGAAGGTATGAAACCACTTTTTCGTCTCGTA